GTTCTATAGGTAATTATACATGGCTTGGGATGCGAATATAGCAAGCAAGAAAATTAGCTGAGGGTTTGCTGAGCTTTTTCTTCATTATGGAATAAGAAGCTAAACAAAAGCACTTCCTTATTTGATGTATCCATATTAGGAGTTAATCTAAGATGAAAAGTAGCGTAATGATGTCACAGAATGCCTCATACATTCCATATACAGTAAACGCCGACAGCACTGAGCAACTTGGCTCCGGTCTCTTTCCATTGTGTGAACCAAAAGACCCCAAATCGCCCCACCTTTCTCCAGAAGACAATTACTTGTATTATGTTTACTTATAAACAATCAGAGAGAAACATCACACACCCTATTACATCTATGACTAATAATGATAGCAAATTAAACAAAAATAGCAGGATGTGATCAATCATTGTTAGGTATTGTTTAAAAATTATACAGAGTATATCCCAAGAGCCTGAGAGAGTGCTTTCAATGTCACGTCAATAGCTGAATTGGATTTAGAACTTGGGAGGCTGTGTGTGTCAGTGTTTGTGTGGTGTGTTTGTGTGGTGTGTGTGTGTGTGTGTGTGTGTGTGTGTGTGTGTGTGTGTGTGTGTGTGTGTGTGTGTGTGTGTGTGTGTGTGTGTGTGTGTGTGTGTGCGCACAAGGCTGGGTGGCCTGTGACGGAGGCCTGCTGTGCAGTGAAAGGGTTAAAAAAGCCCTTTCTATTCCCACACACACACACACAAAAACAGATACACACGCTCCCAGTGATTTTACTGTAGATTCTGTCACACAGCCAATCCCCTACTGAGATTCTAGTCAGTACCTATGTCTTTAGGTACAAAGCCTGCGGGCTGCAGTGGCTGCAGGTAACATAAACACTGCTGCCTTGCCTCTGCAGCCCCACTCCGCAGCGCGCCGTATTTGTGCTGCATGAAATTCTCTAAAGGGGTTTAAGTATTTACCCAGAACACTATCAGCCTCTGCCGAAAATGCAGCTTACCCTGTTGAATAAGTACTTCAAAGAGAATCGCAAATACCTTTTGCCTGCGATTTATGCTACATTTTCTACCCCTCTCTTTCTTTTACTTTTCTTCTCGTTTTATATTTCCCCTCAACACAAGCCGGCTCCGTAATGTAAAATGTATTATCAGCCATATATTTCCTTTTTAAATGAATAATAACAATAATCTTGGAGTAATTTCTTTTCAGTGTGGAGCGTTGTAAATAGGTTGCCCAGGTGTGTTAATATAGAGCTGGAGGTAAACAAAGCCGAGCTAGAATGAACCTCAGGATTATACACTCTATTCTGCGTTCTGTGATAAGGACAACACACACTACTATCCAGGTAGCCTGCTGCACACACACACACACACACACACACACACACACACACACACACACACACACACACACACACACACACACACACACACACACGGAAGGATAAACTACTCCACAGCTCACATACTGTTACATACACACACAAAGTCACAAACACGTGCAAATAATCACACTCTTAAAATTACTAACATACTCAATATCGATAACACACAACTACAGTGCATTCTACTAAAATGCTAAACTAAACAAAAAAAACAGCTGAGATTTACCAGAAGATAATGAATGGTTTTATAATACAAATCTATAAGTAATAAAAATGCTATTTAAACAATTTACTGTTTAGCTCACACTTACAATGAATCTGGCTTGCATGTGTGTGGCCTGTATATGAAACTGTCATAAAATGTTGCCCTAGAATGTCAAACTAGAGAGTAAAACAGAGTAAAACGTCTGAAATATGATTCTACTGTCGCTAAGCCTCAAGCCTCTAAAAGTCCTGCTCTTTCTTACCTACCGGGGAGCAGAAAAACAACAACCTGCACTCCAAATAAAAAACACACTGCACACTACAGAACCATAACATTTATAATGTTTTACAAACCCATCAAATAAGAGGATAGGGATGAATTGGCCCTGCCGACCTTAAAATAATTATATGAACAGTGCAACTCTAAACTCCCAATGAAATTGATACACTTTGATAATTAGATTCTTGGCTCTGACCCGCTGAAGTCAATAAAGGTTATTAAGGCCAATTGCTGTCTAAACGCATTAGAGGCAGAGTAAACTGTCTGTCTATATGAGGGAGGGAGGGAGGCCCTCCTGCACTAGTTCAGCAAAGCACCAATACCATAATCCATTCTCCGTCCTGAGGTTTCTCCTCTCCCGTCTGTGTCTGTCTGCACTCTGCCATACAAAACCAGATTGGATTCGCTTAACCTTTCCAGAGCTTTGATCAAATGAGCTCACACTGCAATAACATTTACATTGACCCCCCTCTCTCTTTCTTTCACTCTTTCTCTCTCTCTCTCTCTCGCTCTCCCTGAAGCTCCATCCCCTCCTTCCCCTTGCTAGGTCAATAACCTAATCAGCTATCGATGGCGACCTGGCCAGCCTGCGAGTGATTGCTCTGTGCTTCCCCTGAGTCGCTCCCTCTCAGTAGCCCGCCTCAGATTGTTACTGAGGACCAACATTAAAGACGGAGGGAGAAGAAGAGAAATGATGAAATGGTCACAGGGCGCGTCCCTACACATCACGTTCCTCTACGGCTACATGACGGGAGTGTGACCAAACCCAGAGGAAGAGAGAGAGACTGACAAAATGGTTACAGGGAGACGCTAGAAGACATGGCCCGGATACCCCTTCCTGTTTTGTAGATCTTGAAGTATACAAATATATTCAAGTGTGTGGATTATATTTATTGTGAAAGTATATTAATTTTCTTGATACGCGCTGAAAGATTTTCATCTACAAGGCTCGTTCAACTGTCAAATGAGGAATAGAGAGAAGGAGAAAAGGGAAAGAGAGAGAGAGAGAGAGAGAGAGAGAGAGAGAGAGAGGAGAGAGAGAGAGAGAGAGAGAGAGAGAGAGAGAGAGAATACTGTCTGAAATCTCTTTGCATCTCGGCAGCTTTTGAAGTTGTGATATGAGCAGCCACAGAAGTCGGGGAAAGTGACAAATTAGGGGAAAAGCTGTATTGTGCAGGTAGAGCTGGTAAATCAATTAAAGTCAAACAGAGTGCATACATTAGCATCAGCACACACACACACACACACACACACATTAACACACACACACATAAACACACATGAAAAAAGGAAATATGAAATGTTTTGTTGCTTCTCCCCCACAGCAAAAAAAGGAAATAAAAAATGAAAGATAAAAAATGCCACACCAGTATTTAAAATATTTTGCATAAAGCCAGACTGTCTCTCTCCTTTTGTCAGCCAGGTGGAAGCTATTCATTGTTGCTGGTTTAAGTAAATGTCAGGATTGTATGAGATCCATGATAGTAGGTCCTAGGGGAGCTGGGCTGCGGACCGGGCCCATCCAAACCATAACAGGGTTCCACCGACCCTCGCTCCATTCCTAGTCTGGATCACAAGGGAACAGTGCCTTTACACCCCTGTCCTTTAACCACGGGGCGCAGCCTGTACCCCTCGTCTTCTGAGGAAGGCGGAACACTGGACCTTCTTCATACAGCTACCTATTCTCATATCTGATAAGCACTCCAATTCCTTTATCTATGCATGAAGCACTCGCGCACACACACACACGCACGCACGCACACACACGCACACACACGCACACACGCACACACACACACACACACACGCACACACGCACACACACACAAGGACACACACAGACGCACACACACACACAGCTGATCTGAATACTCTGTATTTAGCCTCTCTCTACCACTGGCTTCCATCTCCTCTTTTTGTTTCTATTAGGAAGCATCTTCAATTCATGAGGTAACAGTTTGGAGAGAAAAGGAAGAGCGAGAACCTCTGGACGTGTTTTATCAGAATGTCATTCAAATGGAAGGGTGAGTATTTGCATGACAACAGGATGGAGAACAGGGACTGAGCCCTAGGGAGGGAACTAGCATCTATAAACAGACAGCAGCTCTGAAATATACTTAACACAATGCAAGGCTAAGTATGTCGCTGGCACACACCCACACGCACACAAATACATTCCAATATTATAATATCTTTGTTGTCAATTAAAAACAGCACACACTACTGTGTTTTTTATTTTTTTCAAACATTTTCAAGATTATGCATACACCATAAAATTATCAAAAAATATTAATCAAATATTAAAATGTCATACATTTAGGACACTGCAGATTTTTTAAATAGTAAATAGCGAAACATGTTTGTGACCATAGAAAAACACCAACTGCCACACTGATGTATTCTGATATTTAAAATAGTTTTGCATAGAAATCCTAATAAAAATAGTTTGTGTATATAAGTATATGAAAATATAAACTATGTAAATAAGTTATAAAATCATTTGACAATTCAAAATAGAAGTGTAATAAACAAACATAAGCAATCGAAAAAAGGTAAATAAAAATGCATAGTATATCTGATTTATATAATACTGAGAAAGGCCTATTTGATCAGTATGTGGTACAATATTGCTTATGAAAGCACAATGAGCCTTCATCAACAATAGTGGCCCATTTTATTTTTACATTTTCCACAAACACAACGAGCATGGCTTTAATTTACTTAAAGGGTCAAAGACAAATACCTCCCTGAGAAACTACTTCTTCATGTTGTTTCATTTAGAAAACAACACAAGGCATGTTCAGTTCAGTAAAATACAATATGATAAAAAAGAAAAGGAGTAAAAAGAGTTTACAGAAGCTAAATGGGAAAGGGTCAATTAACAGCATGGCTCTAATATAAATGACAAATAGCTAAACAAATACTGAATGAAAAAAATAATTTACAAAAAATAATTGTTGACCAAAATGTCACATTTATCTTGAAAGATGCTGTAGTGCATGTCTGACCAGAGCCAGGGAAACTAAATGATGAGAGGGGTCTAGTTGACCATCAGAGAGAGAGAGAGAGAGACAGCTCAATACTTCACATCTCACTCCTGCTCCTCTCTAAGTACAGGTTCAAATCACACACTTCATCTGAGCTCTAGATGAGTTTAGCCCCTGTCTCCCCCTCCTCCCTCTCCTCCCTCTCCTGGCTGTGTAGACAGGAGTGAGCCAGCCTGCCTGCCTCCCCGTGTCTCAGTGCAGAGCAGCACCGTGCTTCTACAGGCTCCTCTCTTTATCCCTGCCTGAGCATTAGATGTGATTACTGCTCAGCGCTCCACACTGACAGAGACAGAGAGTACAGAGAGAGAGAGAGAGAGAGAGAGAGAGAGAGATGCAGGGAGGGAAGGAGCGAGAGAGGGAGAGATGCAGGGAGGGAAGGAGAGAGAGAGAGATGCAGGGAGGGAAGGAGAGAGAGAGGGAGAGATGCAGGGAGGGAAGGAGTGAGAGAGGGAGAGATGCAGGGAGGGAAGGAGAGAGAGAGAGATGCAGGGAGGGAAGGAGCGAGAGAGGGAGCACAGCTCTGGTCTAGGCTGTTTCAGTGATACAAGAGTGCCCCCTACTGCTTCACTCTCCAGAGTAACAACACACTTTGATACAACAGCAGAGCTGATATTGGACTAACATTGGTTTCTGACACACACATGCACACACACATTTACGGTAAACAGATGTGACTAAGTAGACTTCATTGTGAACAACGCATCCTCTCTCATTTATGAGTATGAAATGACTGAGAAAATGGAAAGATGTGTCAGAACAATTACTACTCCCTTGTGATGTGGTGTCAAAGAGCTGAGTAAGACCATGTTGAAACAGATTAAACCTGGGGTGTGACACAAAGACATTTCACAATCACAAGTGCACTATCTGATTATTATCTGTGTAGTTTGTGCAATGAACTCAAGCACAGGCGTGTTTGATGTTACACAGATGTATACAGCCAATCACCCTCAGATCCTGATGGAGGCTCTCCACTGTGAGAATCCTGATCATGTGAATCCTGATGTGAATCCTGATCATGTTAGAACACGATACTGTGTACAATAATAATTACTGACTGCAGAAACTTGTGAATGAACTAAAGTGTTATAGCAAAGTTCTTTGTGATTAGACTTTGTATCACTCTTAAATGTCAATCTTAGACTGTTTTGGCAAAGTTTGTCAACCTCACTACCACACACTAGTATGTGTTATTACAAGGCCCCAGTGTGTCTCTGTGCAGTCTTACCATGAGCTCCATCTCTCTCCAGTCATTCTCCAGCTGCTCCATGGGTCTGGCCCACCAGCTGCAGAACCGGGTGTAACGCTGGCCCTGGAACCAGTACTGCCTCAGCCACTCAAACTCCACCTGCACACAACACAACACAGTCAAGTCAGATAGAGGAATCATACAGCATTATAGGAATACTTTAGATCCTAGACAGGCAGTGGTAGATCAGTCAAGCTGTATGAAGTCCAGATGGAAATATTGTAAACGCTCAAACTTGCAAAAACATGGCGGTACAAAGGCATGGAAGTCCATCAATCTATCAACGCCAAGGCCTCTACATTTTACATTTTAGTCATTTAGCAGATGCTCTTATCCAGAGCGACTTACAGTTAGTGAGTGCATACATTTTTCATACTGGCCCCCCGTGGGAATCGGACACACAACCCTGGCGTTGCAAACGCCATGCTCTACCAACTGAGCTACACAGGACTTCACACTCCTACTGTGCTTTAGAGCATGAGTGAGAGACAGGAGATAACAAAAGGTTAAATCTGTCTGTTGGGGAGTATAGAGAGCAGGAGAGAATGAAGTGTACTAGAGTCTAGACTTACTATAATGTCTGTTTACTCAGATGGTCAATCCTATGAGAGCAGACAATACACCCCTCTCACAACTCTATCGGCCCTCGACCCCCATTTCCCAAACCAACCCCTGACCCTAGACACCTATACCCCACATTGCTCCACCCTCTCCTCACTCCTCTATCCTTCTCCTCCTCCTCCCCTACTCCCTCGCTACGCAGGGGAATGACAGTTTACTCTGCAGAGCGGCTCACCTCTCCTCCACTGGGAGTGTTTATGTTTTCAGCTCTTTTGAAGTGCTGATTTAATCCTCACAAGGACGCCTCACGTAGCCCGGTGTATGGATGTGTGTGCTTGTCTGAGAAAGTGTGTGTGTCAGAGATTGCCCCAAATGCCGGTGATGCAAATGCAAGGCGCTCTGAGTTGCCCTCCCCCTAAACATCCTACAACGGCACTGTTTCAGCATCGTCCTCCCAACAATACATGCCCCATTTCGTTTGACATGGACAACTGTAGAACATAAGGCAAGCAGTACAAAAGAGTTACATATCAAATGTGAAAGCGACTACAAGAGCTATTGTTCCTCTCCAACTACCAGTCTGTTTATTGTTCTTGTAGGGGGTATTAGGATGTATGGTACAGTGTTACACTAGCTCTATCACACATATAAGGAGGAATATAAGGAGGAATACAGAGGAAGAAGCAGACAAGAATACACAGCCATTTCCACTTCACCCTTTGTTCAGTGGCTGGCCTTCCAGGCTATGCAGTGGCACAGGATACAGAGAAACTGTCCGCCATTTTGGATCCAAAGGGGGCTGATCACAGTGGTTTGACATGCAGGGGCTGGGTCACGTACGGGAGGGTACATGGGCCCTAGCACTGTTCAGCACCCTCACAACCACTCCATACAACAGACCCTTCAAACAAATGTCAGGCTTTATGGCTCTTCAACCCTCCACTACTCTACTCCCCCCCTTGAACAGTACAGCTCACACACACAACAAAGCAAGAGAGAGGGGACAAACATCGACTGTCCTTTTTCTACCTCCACCCACCGCTCCCCCTCTCTCTCTGATTGTCCGTCTGTCCTTTACTGAGGGAACACAGCCTGTGGCTCCACTTTGAGCCGACATGGACTCCTAGCCCCCGCCGAGCATGGCGATGGCAGCCTCAAAGCCAGGCGACTGCGGCATCTGTGGGGCGCCTGGCATTTGGAGCCTGAGCCGCCCGGCTGTGAGTTACTGAGAGGGGAACGCTGACTAAATGCCACCTGCCCAGGTAGAGAGATCGAAAGAGAGAACGGGGGAGAGGGAGGGAGAGAGAGAGAGATGGAGAGAGTCATCGCCATCGTTAGGCTAGATTTTCTCCTCTGCCTAGCCCGCTCTGGGTTCTGGGAGCAGGGAGACTGAGTGGGTCCTCTCCCCTGTGGTGTCTCCTGTCATCTCTCCAGGTGACGGACGTGCTAACTGCACATTAGCCCTCCGCTCGGCCACCCGCTCACCATGGCGACCCAGGAGGCAAAGCCAAGTAGTCCCTTCAGTATTTAATGAAGCAGGATTTTTCCACACCTCTCGGTGGTCCCCCAGCAGACCTGACCAATCAATTTCCGGCTGTGTCGTGCCGTGCGGCCCCCGAGGTAGGGCCTGATGAGAGAGGGATCGATATCAACCTGCCTCTTTCTGTTTACTTTCCTGGACCTGCTCCTGCTCCCACATCACATCAACCAGGAGCACTGAGCACTGTTCCCTGCCTCTAGAGGTACAGGACACACTTCACACTCATCACACCTTAGCTACCGTGGACACACACACTCTCAGGCAAGGACACACACACATACCTTGAGGCGATACAAACTGTACTCACAGACACACTCACCCAACCTGTCCTTGCTCACCTATAGGCCTATAAACAATAATATGCTCCAAATTACAGATTTCAATTTCATTCTTTCTCAACTGAAAATAGGATAAGAAAAAACTGTTCCCTACAGGTAAGAAACTCTCTGACTCTCCATAAGGAAAAGTGGTGTGGGCTTTTAGCTACTTCACAAACACTGTTACTCACTAGGGAAAGAGAGGCCTGGCCTGGAAAACATACTGTACAGGACAGAGGAAGGTCAGAGGAACTACCTGGTTGATTACACTTCTACTTTACTTCCCCCCGTCTCTAGCAGAACCAGACATGTGGGACTTAGTTACTGTGTCCCTCCCTCCAATATTTACTGAGCAGGGACAGGCTTCATTAGGGGGGTCCCAGAGGGCACACTGTCACACACTCACCTGGGAAGTGACACGCTGGCTTTAAATGAGACAAGACGTTTGTGTCTGGGATTAGCATTTCAAAGCCAAACACACACACACAAACAGGGCCGTGTGGAGATGGGATGTGATGCTAACCCCCTGTTTGTTCCACCGTTCCAACACACAAACAGGGCCGTGTGGAGATGGGATGTGATGCTAGCCCCCTGTTTGTTCCACCGTTCCAACGCACAGACAGGAAGATTAGAGTAGAGAGACCAGGACCTAGAATCAGCTAGAAGATGGGGTCTCTCTCTCCCTCCCTCCCTCCATCCCTCTCTCTCCCTCCCTCCCTCCCTCCCTCCCTCCCTCTCTCTCACTCTGCTATGCCAGGTGCTGTTCTCCTATTCTCTACCCATCAACCCCTGCTTCAACTCTTCTCCTCTGGCTGCTGACATTCTCTCCCTCTCCCTGAACACACGTTCCTCAGATGGCAGACGTTCAGCTTCATCATCATAACAACCCTAAACATCCCCCATTCCCTCTCTAACCCTACCCAAACTACTGTCAAACCCCCTCTAAGCACACACACACAGAACATCAGCATCAGCCAGCCGGTCGATCTCCTGTTTAGCAATTTTGAAGGAAATGCCCATTAGGTGTTGGTCAGGTCAGCCTGTTTGACCAGCCTCTGCTTGTTTGCTCTTCGGTCATCCATGTCAAACATGACCCGTGCAATATGCGCCCGCCAACCGCCAAAACTAGCCGCCATAATAAATAACTCTGCCAACAATACATAATTTAAGTGGGTGTTCTGCCCTCATGGGCAACTCAGAACAAATGGCCAAATCCATCATCATGGTCCTGGGGACGCCAGGTAGAGTAGAGCGGGGCCAGGCCCCCGAGAGAGCCTCCCAGCCTTTTATAAATAGCGTCCTGTTTTCCTAAATAAACGGTGTGCGCCCCCCAGCCAGGCCTACACTGGGTAATCCTGTGGTGCTGTGCTGTGAGCAGGTGTTCTCTCTCTGCTCTGGGATGGAGACCAGGTGTTGGCTAGGCTGCTGTTGTCTCTCTCCATCTCTCCCCCCCCCCCCCCGCCCTCTCACTCTCTCTCCCTTTCTCTCTCATTCCCTCTCTCTCCCCCTCTCTCTCTCATTCCCTCTCTCCCCCTACAGCTCTCTCTCTCTCTCTCTCTCAGCCCCATTGTTTGGTGTCTGAATAATTAATACTGGCTACAACCTTTAAACAACCTCACACCAAGCTCATCTGTCATGGCATCCCGTGTGGTTCCTGACTGGGCCCGCTGCTGTGGTTACCTGGGAGTAGTGAGGATAACACACACACACACACAGAGGAGGGCGGAGGGGGAGAGGTGAAGTGCTATTTTAACTGCCCCTGGCAGTCAGGGGCAGGCTGGGCTGCAGAAGGCTGTAATGAGCAGGCTGCCACTGTAAAGTGTGAACGGCCCCCATAGGGTCTCAGGGTCTCAGGGCCCCGGAGCCAGATTCACTGATTGTTCTGTGTAAAAGGGGCCATGATCTCGATCCTTAGATACCTTATGGAGGACCAATTTGTTTACTATCCATCATCGCCCAGGACAAACAAGAGCATCCTGGACTTATGAAATATTTATCCCATAACGTAAATATCCACGGTAGCTATGAATGATGTCAACTTAAATGTTGACAACCTCTTTATTTTCCTATGGAGGGGCCTTAACCCTGGTTAACAGAGTAGGACCACATTTTGCCATCAAAATGTGACCGAAAGTCGAAAGGGAAAAATTATACACGACTACCCTTTCCTTGAATGAGGTTGTTTGAGTACACTCTTAGAAAAAAGGGTTCCAAAAGGGTTCTTCAGCTGTCCCCATAGGATAACCATTTTTGGTTCTAGGTAGAACCCTTTTGGGTTCCAGGTAGAACTCTTTTGGGTTCCATGTAGAACCCTCTGTGTAAATGGTTCTACATGGAAATCAAAAGGGTTCTACCTGGAACCAAAAAGGGTTCTTCAAAGGGATCTCCTATGGGGACAGACGAAAAACCCTTTTAGGTTCTAGATAGCACCTTTTTTTCTAAGAGTGTAGGTAGCACACAAAGTTAGGCCTATCGTGGAAACCCAAAAGTTAGTCAGACACACACACACACACACACACACAGTCACATACTCACACACATCCACCCACCTCGTTGTGTATCTCCTCGTAGCCTTGCAGGGTAGCTGGCAGCAGGGAGAGCAGGCTGTGGGTGCCTGTTTCTGGGTCTGTGCTCAGGTTAGACAGGGCCTCCCGGCAGCGAGACTGGATGTAGTCCAGGGTCCCGGTGGAACACTGTGGGGACAGACAGGACAGACAGTCAAAAAAGGTTGGGAGATAATGCATGTATTCTGGGAGTATAGGGCCTCTTTGAATTCTAAAATAGATTCTAAAATAGAAGGTAGAATCTGTTAAAGAAAGGTAATCGAATATACGGTATCTTATAAAATGAATCAATCATTATTATAATCAGGCCAGGGTCTCCAAGCCCCCAGTGTACCCCAGGCTTCCCTCACCTCCGCAACTCTGTGTGTAGAGCTGAAGCGGGCTGAGTCTCCAGCCAGGACACAGTGCTGATGGGTCCTGTTCAGGTCATCTGGGGACAGAGGAGGACACACCACAGTCACCACACAACCAATACCAGTCAACTATCCCAAATATTAAGAGGCAATGATGTCCACAACAATTTCATATGAATATAGGCCTACACAAATGCCAAATGTTTTAATTCTGTTTTAACCTTTTTTAGGACATGGGACACCACACCACACCTGTCCACTTGTCGAATGAAGATCCAAAATATATAATTGAAATGTCTGTTTAATAACTTCTGTCTCTTTGTGATGTGTTTCCCTCCATTTCTCCATACTCAAACAGATGGATAGTTTCAAACATTTCTTGCTAACCTAACAATGCTATCGCTAATCCTATCAAACGTCATGCGTTCTATTATATGAGAACACAGATACAAAGTCTGGTTATCAACAGAGTCTAGGTGAAAAATCTGTCGATGTGCCCTTGAGAAAGACACTTAACCCTAATTTCTCCTGTAAGTCGCTCACCACCACTGTTTACCACTGTTCATGGAAAAGGTACCTGTTTAAAGGTGTCAGTGGTTCAGGACAGGTTAGGGCATGGGTGTATTCATTAGGGCACACCATTATGTAGGTGGAAATGATGTTGAATAATAATAAAGTACATTTATCAATGTGACTCCATTATTATGTGAACAAATGCAACAGGCCCTGTGTGTCTCTGGAGGATATAGCAAGATGGCGAATAATTGCATCACCTCTCAGTATGACTATAATGAACATGAGTCTATCTTGCATCATTATGCAATTATTAAGAGGCTAGATACAAATAGCTAATCCTGGCGACCAATGTTCTAGCATTCATTTATTGAGGCAAGCAGATCAGAGATGTCGAGTTGGTACCCAAGCATGTGCTATGTGTATAGTGTAATTAACAACTATCAATAGACCTACTAAATTATAGACATATAGTCAATCAAAGAATGACTCAGTAAAATGAGGAATGCATTTACTCAATTCAACTAATAGAATGTATTAGTCACAAAATAATTGACACTCAAACAATTGCAGTGTACATGAAAATACATGATACAGAATAACACTGAGTAAATGACTATCACCAACAGGTTAAGACTTAACGTGGATACATGTGTCTTCACTTCAGAATAATCTCTCTGAGAAAAAACTATGCGTGTCTGATACACACAGGAGCTTGGTAGCAAGATAAGGTGTGTTTGATCCCTGTGATATCCTACAGATGGTCTGCCATCCAAACAATGTCATAAATCGTGACTGAATCATCACACTGTGCTCCCACGCCAGCCAGTCACTAGTTGCGAGTATCACCTTCTCTCATTCTTCCACTACGCCGTAGCAAAACATTTCGCACCATAAAAAAATGGTTGCTGCGCACAGCAACTAAATAGGCTGCAGGGTCCTCTATCTACCACACTCTGTCCAGCAGCAGGATCAGTGAAATGGGAACATTATTCTACTTCATTGATCAAACACTGCCAGATCTCATTCAATCCCTCATGATGGAGGACTCATATCAACAAACATTTATCCAATAAACAAAGATCCTGATCGGATCCCAACTGCTGTTTCTAGTGTATCAGTCCCATCAGTCCACAAGCTTGTTTGTGTGTTTAGATGTCGACCAGCTCTGTTATTATTGGTTTCACAAACAAATCATTTATTTAGCCATGACAGAGCTGTCACTCACAGCACATGTGCATATTTACACCCCGCCTTGAGCAGTGTGGCTGGCTAATGCCTTTGATTTGAAAGTCAAACAGTGAAGTGCTTTAGGAAGATAGATATTATTATGTGCTAGCATGACAAACAAAACAAGTTCTCCCACTGTTCTGTGTTATCCTCTGATGAGATTGTGAAGGATTAGGTCTCTGGGCGGAATGACTCCCGTCTTTAAAACAGTTTATATCCAATAATAAATGATCTTCATCAATCTGTTCCTCCACAGTCTGATGGCACTGGGGGGACAAACTCGATTCCTGTAATAAATATTTATCTTTCTTTCTCTACCCCCTCATCTGTTGCCACTTGTCCCCTTCTTTTTTCCAGGAAGCAGCAGGCTTTTAAATATATTGGGTCAACTCTTTCTCAGGTCCCCCGTGAGTTGGGAGTTGGAAATCTTATTACCCAACAGGCTCGGTGTCACACTTGAATTGTTCTTTTTTAACCACTGAAATTCCATTTGGGTGGAAATAATGGCTGATTAAATTTGCACACACATATTACACACGCAGACACGCACAACACTAGCAGTTCAGAGGTTGAGTCACTGACAAACGGTGCTAAAAAGGAATGATGGTGTCTGTGATTGTACACGGGAACGTTCTTTATCAAAACACCACAAAGACACCAGGCATCACAAAGATAGCTTTTATTTCTGTCCCTTGTCAAGGCATGCTATAACCTCCAATGAAATACTGAGTAGACTACTTTCTTGAATTTACTCTTGGTTGATGACAGTAGTTAGTGTCTGTACTGTGTACCTGATCCAGGTGTAGGAGTGAGAGACTGTGTGAGCTGCTACAGTATCATAGTGATCCTGTAGGGATCTCCCAAACTGGCACATAAATCGCCATTGATCCAGTCCAGTCAGGTCCAATTACAATTGTGTTTCTAGAGCAGCCCATCACTCTGTTATCATGCCTGGACTGAACGTGACAAATCTCATCCTGTCTGGGTTAGGGGTAAATTCTCCTGTGCTGTTTGAGTTATGTCCTGTGAGGTCACTCCAACTCATGGTTTCTACTCAGATCAACATGTTTTGAGGTAGTGAATATGAGTCTGTGCCTGCTTGTTCTTGCCTGTGTCTTTGTGTGCTTGTCTGTTCGTATGTGTCCAAAAAAACGATGCAGTCATATTTCACCAACGATCCCAGACAAATACACACAATGATGTCTTGGAGGTCCTAACCCATACACAGTGTGGGACATGTCGTGCTGCTGTGATGGGGAAGCTAGTGGTAGCTAATAATAGCTGTGTAGCCTTGTCCTGTACTGTAGAAGTTAAGAGCAGCCCGACCCAGCAGGCGGAGATGAAAGGGGAAGGCATCTGCTGTAGCCATCAGCATTAAGGTCTGATTTACACCCTCATGGCCCGCTGCCTGTCCTCTCCACTCCATAGAGACACCACCAGCACCGCTGCCACAGCACCGGGTCACAGGACTTCATAAAATAACATTTGGTTTTCTTAACCTCGCTAATGCATGCAATTACATGGAACCTTAGGGTTACAGATACACGAGCAGGCCAGAGTCCAAGCTGCATGCGGAACAGAACAGAACAGGGCTTCTGATGGGGTTGGGTTCAGACTAACACAATGATGAGCGAGAGAGAGAGAGAGAGAGAGAGAGAGAGAGAGAGAGAGAGAGAGAGAGAGAGAGAGAGAGAGAGAGAGAGAGAGAGAGAGAGAGAGAGGAGAGAGAGAGAAAGAGAAAAAGAAAAAGAGAGAAGACAGTGAGAGAGAGAAAAGAAAGAGAGAGAGAAAAGAGAGAGAGAGTCTGGAGAGCATCCTGCTTCTATGGGTCAGTAGGGACACAGTAAACCAAACACACTAGAACATGAAGTGTAAATCTCACACAGACTAGAGATGTCATGTAAAAGGAGTATGTGCGTGCATGCTCCAGTACCTCTCATGTAGTAGCAGTCTCCGGACTGCAGTGGGAGGGTCAGTCCAGGGGTGTGGATGTCCCAGGCCACCTTTAGACCAATCCTCCAGCAGCCCTTCTCCGCAGGACCCTCCTCCGAGCTCACACCTGCTAAACACAAACAATCCCACCACTTAAGTCAGTCAGATCAGAACCAAATATACAGTAGGAGACAGGGCATATTGTTACATTTTCCCTCAGTACAACTTCATCACAGTTTCTGTACAAGAGGACAGCCTTTTTAATAAAAGTATTTGATGTTAGGTAGCTAGTGTGTGTAGGGGCAGCAGACAGACAGGGTAGTGGGGACTATTCTCCTCCCATAGCCAGTCTCTGAGCCTCTCCCCCAGCCTCTCCCTGGCTGTCCTCCATCCGAGGCACGGTAAGAAAACCAGATCTACCCAGCCCGTTAGGTCCACACCCTTCAGCAAAAATCAATACTAAAGTCTTCCTGGGCCTCTCTCTCAGCCCCACGGCAAATCAGACCTTTTCCTTTACTCAGCAGAGGATAAATAGTAACTTAATTTCCAGCCAGTGCTTTCTGAGAGAGCCGTTAATGACACTGCTCCCAAAGGACCCAGGATGGGAATGGTGTTGGAGCTGGAGTAAAGAGCATTGTGGTCTTTCCAGCCGGAAAACTCTCCGCCTCCATGCCATATTCCTCCGGATCAGAGCAGCTGGGTTACTCTAAATAGAACCATTCTGTAACACCAGAGACAAAGCCTTGGGAAAAAGAGGCAAAGACTAGACTTCACCCAGACCAGACATGAAAACTAAGCGTGTCAAAGAAAGGCAGGTGTCGTGCAAATAAACACGCTTAGATGGTTAATGGTTACTGTACGTACCAGACTGTGTAATGCTAAACGGCTCAATTATTGAGTTGAGAAAGAGAGAGAGAGGGGCTTTGTGTGCAGCGCAGCCGAGAACAATGTAAAAAACATGGGCCCCCTCGTAAAAACATTCCGCATGGTAACAATTCCATCTCTGTGGTTCTGAGAGTCTTCAGAACGATCTGGCCCAAAGTGAACATAGCATTTCTTGAGTAATGCACAGCGGGGTTAGCGAGCAGTGCTGCTGAGCTTTTGTCAGGCTTGCCTGTGAAGTCTGGTGCTGTGGGGTCAGTTTGGCCTACAAAGGAAAGGCACAGCTGCAGATAGAATAGTGTACCTAGACTACAGCCCCGGCTGGTCGGTCCTGTGGTGTTTGAAGCCAGCGTTCCCAGGGGTCAAGGGTCAGAACAAATCATCTCCGCAGACCTCTACAGCAGGTGGTTCTGTTTAGCCAATCCCTCTGAGATGAGGTCGGCCCGCTGCAAAGGCGGCTGAGATATGGTTTTGCACTGTATTGCCATGTGAAAAGGGGATCCTGCACCTTGATAGTAAAACGGAGTAAATATTGGATTTAAAAATATGATCATGATCAATCATAATTTTGTTAGATGATCACTGATTCAATAGCAATGAACTCCATAAAAAAAGATACACTCATATCAGCCCTACAAAATCAGGCCGAGACCCACTATGATAAAACAACTAGGCTAAACACTGCCTCAATACTGCTGTACAGTCTAGAACCAGTTATCAAAGCAGGGACTCATTATTCCATATCAGATAATTACACATTGATAATTCCTGGAGGAAATTACTTAGATCAGATCGTTGAGAGATAAGGCGGGGCGAGTTGTTGGAGTTTTGTAGTGTGCCGTTCGGCCTGTGTTTAGCCCCTGAATGTGTCCCAGAGAGTGTGTGATGATGATCTTCCCTCCCTCCCTGGCCCTGCTAGCGATAAGGCATCCTAGCCTGTCAGAGCAGAACAGAGGCAGCCTGTGATGACATTTGATAATGCCCTGACAGTATCTGGCTGATAGATCTGATGGCTGGCTCACTGGAGGCCATGTCTGAGATAAATGCTGTATAGCTGCTGGAAGTGAGCTGCTGTAGGGCCACATACACAACGTTAGCTGTTTGCTGCATCAGATAGAGATAGTAGCTCAAAATGATATCACAGTGGAGAAGAAAATAGCTACTTCTAAGGGGTTGTGGGTGGAATGATAAAAATGGGATAACAAGTGAGACTGAAGGGTGTTAATGAGGAACTTTGGGTCTAGTTTGAAGGGGATCCACCACTACTGACTGTGATATAAAACAAGTATACTGTATGACCTTTGACCCTCACCTTTGTCATCGTCATGACAGCTGTAGCTGTAGACAGCCACAGGTGATAGGCTGACCAGGTTCTCATCATGGTGCCAGCCCACAGCCATCTTACCCATCCCATAATACGGCTCTTCTTTCAGCTGGCTCATAGCTGCTGGGTCCATGTAGTTGAGCAGGGTGACGTTGAACTGGGCCGGGCCAGGACAGGATGTCTTAGCAGGGTTGAGGTGAGAGCATCCCTGGCCACTCAGCTGGTCTTCATCCTCATCCTCAATGTGGTACCCAGAGAGACTGTGTTTTAGCTCAGCCACAGGCTTCTCCTGAGGGCCTAGGCCCGTAGTCTCTGTCTCTGTGCTGCCAGCTGGCCTGTGCTTCCAGCCTGTGTGTTTTCCCTCACTGTGTTGTTTTGACCCCGTTGGACTCCCCAGTTCAGTTTGTTTAGGCTTCATGTCTCCCATCTCGTCGCTGTGTCTTGACTCCCACGCTGCATCCTGTTTGGACGATGGGCCTTCTTCTTCACTGTGTTTTGACTCTATGTCCCAGTCCTCGCTGTGCTTTGACTCAGTTTCTCCCTCCTCACTCTGCTTGGACTCTGAGTCTCCTCCATCGTCACTGGGTTTGGACTCCTCGCTATCTTTAGACTCGGTGTCTCCTTCCACACTGGGTTTAGACTCTATAGCACCAACCAACTCTTTCCTGCACTGCTTGAAAACATCCCCCTCCTTCCTGTGTCCGACATCAGAGCAGAAGAAGCAGTTGAGCTCCCAGAGTGCTTTGCAGGCGGCACTGAGGTCTGGGTCACAGCAGGTCCCTCTCTGGTCGTCTGCGTGCCAGGGGATGGTGAAGAGCCGTGTGTCCAGGTAGCGGTAGGTGGTTCCTGGCTGACCCAGCAGCACCCGGGACACGGCGGTGAAGACGTCTCGGTCCCTCACCTTCACTAGGTCCCTCAGGAAACAGCCCCTCTGCCGCAGGGTGAGCAGAGCAGCCTCCACCCGACCATGGAGCTCCTCAGGCAGGGAGCAGGAACGCCGCAGAGCCAGGCCAGAGTAGCTAGTCTCCCACTGGAATACAGAGAAACACAGATCAATTAGCTGTTGTTCTGCCTGAAACAATTGATAGAGAACAAGTACACAGACCAAACAGCCAACATAAATACTGTATAACTAGCCATTGTTCATTCTAATTCTATGGTTCTGCCTATGAGCTAAGTCTCTTTCCAAGTGCTAAGTCCTCTGTCTCCAGTGGGATATACAGAATGCTTTGGTCTGGACTAGTACCAATGGCAGTGGGATAGACAGAAGATCTGGACTAGTACCAATGGCAGTGGGATAGACAGAAGGACTAGTACCAATGGCAGTGGGATAGACAGAAGATCTGGACTAGTACCAATGGCAGTGGGATAGACAGAAGATCTGGACTAGTACCAATGGCAGTGGGAGATACAGAAGGACTAGTACCAATGGCAGTGAGATAGACAGAAGATCTGGACTAGTACCAATGGCAGTGGGATAGACAGAAGGACTAGTACCAATGGCAGTGGGATAGACAGAAGATCTGGACTAGTACCAATGGCAGTGGGATAGACAGAAGATCTGGACTAGTACCAATGGCAGTGGGATAGACAGAAGATCTGGACTAGTACCAATGGCAGTGGGATAGACAGAAGATCTGGACTAGTACCAATGGCAGTGGGATAGACAGAATATCTGGACTAGTACCAATGGCAGTGGGATAGACAGAAGGACTAGTACCAATGGCAGTGGGATAGACAGAATATCTGGACTAGTACCAATGGCAGTGGGATAGACAGAAGATCTGGACTAGTACCAATGGCAGTGGGATAGACAGAAGATCTGGACTAGTACCAATGGCAGTGAGATAGACAGAAGATCTGGACTAGTACCAATGGCAGTGGGATAGACAGAAGATCTGGACTAGTACCAATGGCAGTGGGATAGACAGAAGGACTAGTACCAATGGCAGTGAGACAGACAGAAGATCTGGACTAGTACCAATGGCAGTGGGATAGACAGAAGGACTAGTACCAATGGCAGTGGGATAGACAGAAGATCTGGACTAGTACCAATGGCAGTGGGATAGACAGAAGGACTAGTACCAATGGCAGTGGGATAGACAGAAGATCTGGACTAGTACCAATGGCAGTGGGATAGACAGAAGATCTGGACTAGTACCAATGGCAGTGGGATAGACAGAAGGACTAGTACCAATGGCAGTGAGATAGACAGAAGTTCTGGACTAGTACCAATGGCAGTGAGATAGACAGAAGGTCTGGACTAGTACCAATGGCAGTGGGATAGACAGAAGTTCTGGACTAGTACCAATGGCAGTGGGATAGACAGAAGGTCTGGACTAGTACCAATGGCAGTGGGATAGACAGAAGGACTAGTACCAATGGCAGTGGGATAGACAGAAGGACTAGTACCAATGGCAGTGGGATAGACAGAAGATCTGGACTAGTACCAATGGCAGTGGGATAGACAGAAGATCTGGACTAGTACCAATGGCAGTGGGATAGACAGAAGGTCTGGACTAGTACCAATGGCAGTGAGATAGACAGAAGGTCTGGACTAGTACCAATGGCAGTGGGATAGACAGAAGGACTAGTACCAATGGCAGTGGGATAGACAGAAAGACTAGTACCAATGGCAGTGGGATAGACAGAAGATCTGGACTAGTACCAATGGCAGTGGGATAGACAGAAGATCTGGACTAGTACCAATGGCAGTGGGATAGACAGAAGGTCTGGACTAGTACCAATGGCAGTGAGATAGACAGAAGATCTGGACTAGTACCAATGGCAGTGGGATAGACAGAAGGACTAGTACCAATGGCAGTGGGATTGACAGAAGGTCAACAGTGGCCTGGAACAGTGGTCTGGACTCTGGACCAGCCTGACTGACTGACTCACCAGCTGTTGGAAGCCATGGTCTGAGGGCCCGAGGAAGGGGATGCGCTGGTCTCCTAGCTCCTGCAGCAGCCTGCGCCTCTGGAGAAGAGGAGACCAGACACAGGTCAGTACACAAAGGTCAGTAAAGATGCACATGTCATGAGGAATTTACAGGTAATGCCATGTACGATAAGAGAGAACAGATTAATTCAGGGTTTTGGGAGTTGGCAAACACACAGGTCAGCACAGATACACCTCATGTGGCATTTAGGTTACATCAAATGGCATGTACCATAAAAGTGCACAGCACAGTTAATTCAGGTATTCGGGAGTTGACGAATACATTAGCCTATATTTAAACTGAGCCTGTGAAGCATCAGCATCCCATTTAATTCAACCTCCCCAGATTATATCCCATAGTCCCCTAGCTTCATTGTCGTCTCACATTTTTATGATTTCTTGGCTCTGCAGTGGGGTTCCTCACAACCTTATAAAGAATGCCCTGCTGCGTGCTGCGTACTGGCTCCCTCCTATAAAGACCCAACCTGGTGGAAGGATCAAAGCCCCTTTCATTGGCTCACATTCCATTCCGACCTGTAAATCCAACGGTAACCAGCATAAAACTGCGATACCCAAATAAATTTCACAAGTGCCGAACCCTCCCCTCACCTCCTTCCCTCCCTCCATCTCTGCCGTCTGCGTCCCTCTGTCCTTTATTCACTTCCCACAGCCCCACAGGTGCACACATCCCACACCCGTCAGCCACTGGCTGGCTGAGAGCCGGCTGGCGAGAGCGCCATGTCATTGACCCGCTCCTGCCTTTAAACCTTTAAATGTGCTGTGGACACCGGTGTGAACGCTTCGCCTCGCTCCTTGCCGCACCACTTCCCCGCATCAGCAGTGAGCAAGCTTAGAGCGGAGTGAAGGCTGTGATGTTTAAGGACAGCAGGCCTCGTATATATTCACAGACATTTACTACATGCGTTTCACATTTCTGCCGGCCTAATAATACCAGAGACCTCATGCGGGACGCGGGGGAACGTGTGAGTCCCGACTGCCAAAATATGTCCTGACTTTTAGAGTGAAATAAAATGTCCTGTTAATAACATTAAAGTGCACCTTAAAAAGGTTGTGTCCTGAATGACTCAAAAGAGGGCTAGATCAAAAAGAGGACAAAGAGGAAAAGTATGTGCATGAATACAGACAGAGGAAAAGGAGGTGAAATCTCAGTATGGGGGACAGGAGACAGAGAACGTATTAGATCTATGCTGTTAGTAGAATTCCCTTCAGGGGACTACAGCTTTACCTGCAGGCTAAACAACACCAACAACAACACCACCAACAACACAAACACCAGCTGCAACTTTCTAATATGCCATTTAATAATATGCCATTTAGCAGACGCTTTTATCCAAAGCGACTTACAGTCATGTGTGCATACATTTTTACGTTTGTGTGGTCCCGGGGATCGAACCCACTACCCTGGCGTTACAAGCGCCATGCTCTACCAATTGAGCTACATAGGGCCATTTTCTCTAAAGGATCAGGATGCACATGGGCTTCCAGACAGCCCGGCCCTCTAAGTTATTCTATTTAGAGTGGAACAAACAAAAGGAGAGGAAAACTGGTCCACAGACAGAGTGAATCTACAATACAAAACAACATCCACTATTCATGGACAGTCTGTGTTCAAAGGGCCAGGAGGAAGAGGAGCGGAGGACAACTGACAAACTGACACACATTCATTGGTGTCAAATTCCTGCTTCCAAGCAGAAGCTTCAGGATATTAAACCTGTGTGTGTGTGTGTGTGTGTGTGTGTGTATTTGGTGGGGGGGCAGTGTGGGGGTGTTTCTGTGTGATGTGTGTGGGTGAGTAAGGGGGCAGTGTGGTATGTAATCAGTAGTACCTAGTGTGTATGTAAGCTCCAGTGTGTGTTGTTCCTGTATGTATGTGTGTACAAGGCTGGTTGGTAGGCCGTTGCCAACTTGACCTTAGAGCACATGCCCTGTGTGATGTGTGCACACGCACACACACACACACTCACACACACACACTCACACAACTGGGCCGGATAGCACACTGCCTCAGCTCCAATCGCACACAACTGGGCTGTCACGCACATGTCGAATACATCAAGACACTCAGAAATTCCACCGAAAAAAAGACAGCCCCAGCCCTCTGTAGCAGATGGGCTCTCCTCTCATTTCCTCCTCTCTTCTCCTTGCCTCTCCTCTCTCCTCTCCTCTGCTCTCATCTCCTCTTGTGTCTCCTTCTCTCATCTCATCTCCTTTTATATCAGAGCAGTCTTTCTGTCAGAGAGAGATGCTGCTTTTCCACTAAGCATAAGACACCAGATTACCAATCCCATAAAAACAATGACATGGATGATTTACTGTAACCATGCCAGCCGTCTGTCTGAGTGATATATCTGATGCTGCTCTTAATCTCTCTCTGTTGACAGGATTAAAATCCCCTTGGCCAGACTGTTTATCACATAAATAGGGGGTCTGTTCCCTCAGATCTGGACATGAGAGGGAAATCAAACGGCTGGTATTTTTATTTTTGACACTTTAATGAGTAGATGAATGTCCAGTGCTTAGTTCATTATGGCTCAAAATAACTCTAAGAAAATAAAGGGTCTACATCAACATTCCTGGTGGCGGTGGAGAATAATAGATTTTCTCTGAGAGGCTGGTTTGTCTGAGGACTACCCCCATGGGTCCAGCATAACCCTGAGGAACCCTGCGCCACTGTTCAATGGCATGGTGTGGGTTCCAATGGACTGGTTTAGACTCGGGTTGCTATGCTGTAACAATCAGAATCAAAGTCAGGGTGGAGGTGGAACCAGACCTCCAACCAGTAGAGGGAGTTCTACTGAGAGCCCTGGGGAGTTTAAACCTTGACAGCCAAAGATCCCTGAACCAACCCCAGCCCCCTCCCATCCCCACAATGACACATTGAGAGTTAGCTGCCTAATAGAGCTCTCTGTTTAGGAAGCAAACAATTGGTACTTGTGTGACATCGATTTCAGAAAATGGTCTCCTCCTGCAAAAGTGACGGTGAATCAGGTTTTTTGACAAGTCTTCTGTAGAACATCAGCCTCAAACAGGGAGACAGGCAAGGACATGAAACGCGATTCCAGCCCCTTTTCATTTGGCACCCCGTCGCAGAATGTGGGGAGTGGGTGTGGGGTGGACATAGGCAAGGAGGATGGCAGGGAGTGCCCACTTCGGACCGGGGGAGGCGAGGGGTGAAGGGGGAGACCAAACGGATGAGGCTCACACCTGAGTCAACAAGCCTGCTGTGAGGAGTAAGGAGCGGGAAGCCCCCGGACTTCCGCCCCCCCATCCCCCTGGACTTCCACCCCCACATCCCCCTGGACCTCCACCCCCCAGCCCCCAGCCCCCTGGACCTCCACCCCCCATCCCCCTGGACCTCCACCCCCCAGCTCCCTGGACCACCACCCCCCAGACCCCTGGACCTCCACCCCTCAGCCCCCTGGACCTCCACCCCCCATCCTCCTGGACCTCCACCCCCAAGCCCCCTGGACCTCCACCCCCCATCCTCCTGGACCTCCACCCCCCAACCCCCTGGACCACCACCCTCCAGCCCCCTGGACCTCCACCCCTCAGCCCCCTGGACCTCCACCCCCCATCCTCCTGGACCTCCACCCCCAAGCCCCCTGGACCTCCACCTCTCAGCCCCCTGGACCTCCACCGCTTAGCCCCCTGGACATCCACCCCCCAGCCCCCTGGACCTCCACCCCCCAGCCCCCTGGACCTCCACCCCCCAGCCCCCAGCCCCCTGGACCTCCACCCCCCAGGACTCCCTCTGCCTCACCCTGCCTAGGTGACTAACAGCACGTAGCTACCTCATACACAGGGCATGTCTCTGACTGCCTCGAACCACAGTGAGAGCACACAACACCTAGGTGCTATCACACACACACTATCAATCACACACACTTCCTTGCACTCTGACACTGTCCCTCCCTCCCCCCCTAGGCTACATGGACGTTTTAACTGACATTTAGGCCCCGGGACATAATAAGCACTATCCATTCAAAGAAAAGCAAAACTTTAACTTTTGACATTTTGTTTCCGACAAATCGTGGCATAATGCACTCAGAATCCCACACACACATCAGTGGTCACTGTAATGTGTAGGGAGGTGGATGGGAGGGAAGTGATAAGTGACTGAACAGTGTAATAAATGGTTAACTGATTGAAACATCTGTAGAGTGACCTGAGCACCAGGCCACACAGGGCAGTAGTAATGTGTAACCCCACACCCACACACTGGACCAGGAGGTGGGGATGCATATTCATCTGTCTAGTGGGAGAACTAGCTGGTCACATCCTGATCAGATCAGGTGGTCACTGTTCATGTAGCCAAATAGTAGGTGTCAAAAGGTATTGGAATAGTAGACAGCAACAGTAGAATATGATGAGCCTCTTTCCTCCTTCTGCCCAAGAGGAAAAACGGATCACCAACATCTATCTTAATGTGTGTCCTCCCTCAGCAGATCAACTCAGTAGGTCCTCTTTCAGTCTCTCTCTCAGATATTGTCAGTAGAGATCCATTCAGGTAGGTGATGAAAAATGGCCAGCTAGCCCTCGTTGACGCTCTCCCTCACTAATTGTTGTTTGGGGCTGAAGGGGGACATTGTTCATTTCACTTAGAGGCAGGTCAGAGGGAGGTGTGGATCATTAATATTAAAATGTGTCCATCCATCTATCTGAACACGGCGGGTCATTTAAAGGGCCGGTGTGATGCTGCATGGAGCTGGGCCCGGGCAGACCTTTCACGCCCTGTTTAGAACATGGATCTAATAACATTACCAGCACCGCAGGTCCGCAGGCAGGGTGATCACCAATGATCATTAATTAAACACACACAACCACACAGACACACAGAAACACACACACACACATTCACCCATACTACTATAGACAATCATACTGGTTGATGTTCAGAAACGTACCCACACACAATCACAAGTACTTTATGCAAGACAGTGAAGTAGTTTAAACAGCCATTAAAATGACCCTCTGTGTTCTCTGTGTGTCTCTTTCTCACAGACACACACTCTTAAACACAAACCGTGAGACAGCCATGGGCAGGTCTAACCCTGTCAGGCGTTAGGAGAAAGCGAAAGAAAGAAAGATGAATCACCCAAAAGTATTTACACATACATCTGGGGTAAGCCTAGACACTGACAGGTTGGCACATACAAGGCCAGTCCATTTAAGTGCTTTTCAATGTGTCCATGGTGTCAACATCTATTTCACACTCATCTACACCTCGAAGGAGAAAAAGATGTTTCCATGACCTTTACCCAAGGTGTCAAATCTGGAGAGAGAGAGAGAGAGAGAGAGAGAGAGAGAGAGAGAGAGAGAGAGAGAGAGAGGGGAGACCAGAGCAGAATAGAGCAGATATTTAAGAGGCCTGCACTACCTTACATAAGCAGAAAAGTAAAGGGTGTTAGCCACTTTGGCTTTAATTGTTATTTTGTGGGCAGGCCATAACACTTCCATTAGGATTATGTCGATAGAGAAGGCTTTTTAGTTTTCACCTTCAAAATGACAACATGGTTTCATGAGGTCAGCTGTTTTCCAGGCAGAATGGACTGTTTTAACACTGACAGACTCCCTAGGTATTCAGATCCAGACACAGGCCTGTTTGT